AGCCACTCCGCCCGCCGCCAGGCCTGCCCTCCTCCTGACACCGCCTGGAGCGACCCGAAGGCCGCACGGCCCCACCCGACGCCCCGGGCGGCAGGCTTGCTGTCCCCTGCGTCCCAGCCACCCCGCCCCTCTGGCCCCTTCCATCAGCCCCCTCCCGCCCCCCAAGGAGCTCTCCAGGTCAATGGCCACCCTCCCTGCCCTGCCCCAACCTCTACCGACCCAGGGCCTGTCCTCCCCAGCACAGCAGCGACCCCAGCCGCCAAGGAGGATGCACCAGCAGACTCCGCTCTCAAGGCCACTTCCTGGCCATACAATGCCACCAACGCCTTCGCCACACTTTCATCCTGAGAGGGCCCCCTTTCCACTGCCTGCCCCCTGACCCACCACCCACTGATGTCAGGGAGACACTTCAGTTGTTCACTGGTGTCACCAGGCACCAACTGTGTGTGGGACCGGGCCGGGCATGGGTGACCTCATGAGCGAACCATCCCTTCCTGCGAAGACCTCTCTGCAGGTGACAAGGACCAGGGGCTACCAATGGCAGCAGCTTCCTTAGAGGGTCCACACACCTGCAGCCACTCAGGCCACATGGCCTGGAGCAGCTCCCAAGGGACCCTCACCCCCACCCCTGGGCACAGCACACCCAGCAGGGACCCTCCAGGGTGGCGGCCCACCCGCTGCACTCACAGGTCAGTGCTGTCGGCTCTTTGTGCCATTTCCTCTCTGAATTCAACACCCAACGTGGGTGACCCCGTGGCCTGACCATGGGCTGAACCCATTTCCTACGCTCTCGGCCACCCGTTACCTCACTGCACGTCAACAGCCAAACATACCTTTGCGAGAAGCACCCCTCCTCCTCTTCCCAGGCCCCGATGTCCACCTAAGCCCACCCATCTTTCCAGGTGCCAGGCAGCACCTCGCTCACCCCCGACCCCGCCGCCATCACCCACGGCTCTGCTTCCCCTCCCAGGCCATACCCCCCACTCACCTTACCGTCCTTCTGTCCCTGGACACCCTCCATCCACCTGGCCATCCCCTCCCCAGCCCTCTCCATCCCTCCGCCCCCCACCCCAAAGGCCTTATCGTCCTCACTTCAGCAGCCCATCTTGTGGTCACGCGTGTCCAGCCTGCTCCTCGCCAGCCACCGCCCCTGCTCCCTGGGGCCCACCCTCGGGCCTGCCCCATCAGTCATTCTGTTCCTCCCTCACCCAGCCACTCCCTCCACCCTGACCCCCGACCCCGGCGCGGCCTCCAATCCCCTGGGCACCAGCGCATGTGCTCCACACCCTCTCAGGAGGGATACCCCCTACAGGAACTGACACGGGTTTCTCCACAGGACATGCAGCAGGGCCCTCTCCAAAGTCACACCACCCAAACCCCCCCAGCCTTCCAAACCCTGTCCTGTCTCCCCTCCCATCCTCCCCTCCCAGCCTTCCTTTCAC